AGGTTTTAGTTGGGGGCTAAAACCCCAAGCCCCAGCTTCTGGAGGTATGTGCTTAGGTGAGACTCTCGGCTTTCATTTTAAAAGCAAGTTTCTAGTACTCATGGTTATGGAGAATCAAGGGCACCCTAAAACTCAAACCAGAATGCAAATAAAAAGTACCTCTCGTGTATTTTTAAAATGTTTTCTGATTTAGAAGTCAGTTAAGATTTGGGGGTTTGGATGCATTTTGGATGCTTGGGTTTTTTCACAATACTTAATGTACTGTTGGAAATTGCTTGTAGAGGGACACGTGAACATGGCCATTTCTGCCTTTTTTAATTTTTTATTTTTTACCTACCATACTTACAAGCTTATTAGTGAAACTGAATACTTAATGAGGAAAAATATATTCTATTTTTCAGTTTATTTTGTGCATTGACAAAACTGTATAACCAATCTTACTGGTTGATTCTGTTACACTTCCTGAATTACATGAGTGTTTTACTGCATTGGGTGGGTGTTAAGGTTCTGGCTGCTTTATCCAACCTGTATCTCTTCGCTGGGTTTTCAGTATTAAAAGGGTTTTTTTTTCTTTTTTAAATAGTCATTCTTAAAGCTGTGTTTTATTTCATATTTCCTTCTTAGAGGGGGGAAAAGGTGACAGCTTGATTCTTCAAATAAATGTAGTTTCATTTGTTCTTGCTATGAGGCAGGCAAGTACGTCATTCCTTTCTCTGAACTGGTTCATGAATTGAGCTCCAGTGCAGCAAATCATAGTTAGTTACATGCTTAAATCCTACTCATGTGGGTCTTAAGCTCATTCTTAAGTGCTTTGCTGAAAATTGCGAAGGTTGGTGAGAAAATGATCAAGGTTTGTAGACAGTTAGGTGCTATATCCTTTGGGAGTTTTTCATATGCAGCAAAATGTGATACATTTTGTGTATTATACAGTAGTTTTAAGCAGTAACTTACTGCATGACATAATACATTTAAATGAAGCTATCCTTACAGTTTCTCCATAAGCAACTCTTGACAGAGTGCAATTAGTAAAGGCAGTGATTTGATGTGCAAAAGTCCCTTCAAGTAATTGACTAAGTGGATTTACGCCCACTTATGCCAGTGGGAAACTTGGCCCTTATAATTTTAACATAACTAAACTAGACAGTGATGTGTTTTGTGGCAGTTTGCATAGTCTGTTCATGCTTCACTGGTGATTATGAGAGGACTTCAGTTTACCTAGCAAGAAAACACTTCACTCTGTTTACAGAGGAAAATATAATTATCCTTACTGCATTAGAACTTAAGTAATTATTGGCTATCTTCCACCAGGATTTTACATGGAGTGCGTTCGTAAGGCGAGACAAAAGTTTGTCATCTTTTGAGAAGTTTGACACCTGCCTCTTCAGAAATTAGTACTTTATTGGATGGCTTCCCAGTCACTGATAAACATAACAGTAGTATCTAAGCTTTTGAGAATGGTGATCTAGGCTTTTTATGAAAATGAGTACCCCTCGAAGCACCCTAGCAGAAAAATAAAATATATTAACTTTCCATGCACAGAGCTGAGCAAAGGTGTTTCAGGACAGCAGATCCCTCTGAAATTAATATTTTAAAGTAACATTTTTTGTGCATCACAAAGTGAAATATAATAGTTAAATGAATTGCTAAAGGAATACCATCAAATATAAAGGAAGATAATAAAATCATTAAAAATGATCTGGTAAAATATATATATATTAAAAGGCAATTAAGTACTCCATCCTGGTGCATGGAAATGTAACCGTTTTTTAAATTTGTATAAAAAGGCACAGTATTCAGGTAATAGACCTAATAGATTATTCGCAGCAAGATAGCTTTGCTAGTTTTATTTCTGTTGATCCTGTTAAAGTGAGGAAGTGATGGCTCATAGGCTAAGGTCTTTAAGCAGTTTTTTTGTTTAATAACATTGTAGCTCCTAAAGTGACAGAAGACCAGCATTTCTGAATCCTTTGAAGACTTATGAAAGGTGTGTTGCTAAAATGTTCAAAATAAATATTCTTAAATGGACATATAGTGGGCCAGATTCTGATCTCAGTTACACTGACTTAAGTGCTGTTACTTGTCCATTTCACTTGTATAGTTGTGATCAGAGGGAGGAAGGGATGGCCTTTTTGTTAGGGCACTGATCTGGGACATGGGAGACCTGGGTTCAAGTCCCTGATCTGCAACAGACTTTCTGTGTGACCTTGGGCAAGTCACTCACCCCACTCAGTTTCCCATCAGTAAAATGGGCATTGGCTTGAGGTGGTTGGCAATCTAGGTATCAAAGTCAAGAAACTGACAGAAGATGGCCCTGCCCAGCCTTTCCATTGGAAACAGGAGAGGAGTTGAGCTGTTATTACAGATGTGATATGTATGGTTTGATAAACAGTTGTAGTTTAAAAAAAAAAATCTGTGCTGCTAGTTCATATCTCTTGCTCAGTCCCATACCACATGCTGCTGTCTGGGATCTATCATGCTCTTGCAATCTGTTTGAAGGTGGGTTGGAGATCAGATTTTTTTGTATGTGTTTATCGCAACACAAATTCATGATGTCAAACTGGCCTTACTAATGAGAAAAATGAGGGCCACTAGCTGAAAAGATGTTAAAGTGAACAGTTCCCCCTTTATTGTTCCTCAGCAGTAAGCTAAACACTTGTCTTGCATCTGGAAAAAAAAGTGATGATTTTTTTTTTTAAAGCTTTTGAGCTTCCTTTCTTTTCTTTTCTTTTTTTAGTGTTCTTGCTTGAACTCCCTGGATGTCTGTAGAAGCAAAGGTGGGAAACCGTACATGAGCACCAGACAGTGACAGGGTTGGCTCCCAAGACTTCCTGCTACTGCGCATTACTGCTGGATTGCTGTGGAAATGAATGGAGAACAGCAGCATGATGCAGGTAGTACCGCTGATGAGCCCAGGGTTAGAGGTTCTCTCTGCACAGAGATGTTACAGCCAAGCTGAATAGGATCAGCAAATGTTTTTAGTAAAAATGCATGACCTAATTTTTGTGTATAAGGGAGTAGCTTCACATTACAATTACAATGGGATAGATTCCAATTTCCTTGCATATATTCAGTAGTGCCTTAGTCCCCAAATAGTACCAAGGAAACAATAATCTGGCCCTTAGTTAATAAATGATATTTTAAAAAGTGAGCTTTTCCTTTGTATTGAAAATATGGGCTATTCACGTATGTTGCTTCGATTTTAGAACAGAGAAGGCTCGTCTGGTGGTGGGAGAGTGAAAAGGGCAGAGCAATTACGTTAAATATTTTGCACGCTTAAAGCACACAGCAAATATAAACTAAGTTTCCCGATACCTTTGGAAGTAAGTCAAAATTATTTAATGTTTATCCTTGTATAAGCTGAACTACAAAAGTTGAGTGGTATGCTTAAGTCACTCATTATCCTCCTCTGAACCCCTCCTCAAAACTGCCCTCTGCCATGATGCCTAACAAAAAAAAAAAAAAACTTAAACAGTTAGGCCACTGGTGTGCTGAGATCATTGCCTATCACACAGACCAATATTGTCTCATTTCCTTGTACTCCTCTATCTGCTTGTACCCATCTGTTGTCTCTTGTCTTGTACTTAGGCTGTGTCTACACCACTGGTGCCCAGCCTTATTACACAGGAGGGCCACACAAACCTAAGCACAACCTTGTATAGGCCAAACAGATTCTACATATTTTAATAAGGTTTAAAGTCACCTGTATTGAGAGTATATTTTAAGTTTATTTTGCTTCGTATATGTATGCGTAGCCCCCCCACTTTTAAAAGTGATGGAGCCATACCCTCCCCCAACCCCTGTTCTGGCACCCTTGGCCAGGACCATCCTTTTCCTCTGTCTTTGTACATTACCTGGCACCAATGTCTGGTCCTGGACTAGGGCTTCTAGGAGCTATATTGATACAAATAAAATAATAAGAGCTTTGGGTAGTCTTTAACCTTGATTTCTAGTCCCATCGTCAAACCACTGGACCAGGTTACCGTCCACATTTCTCTTTGCCTAATGGAAAAGTACCAAGAAAATATTTTCCCTCTACCATTGCTATTTGTAGTTTCCTACATTGCTTTAGGAAAGTATAATTACTGTTACTGCTACTGTAGCAATGCAAAAAAATGACTACATACAATGCATGCAAAAATGTTTTACCTGACCATGAAATATGATCTCTGAGAAATAGTCACAAACAGACAGCCTGCTGCCAACCTTGTTCCCTCTGAAGTATACTTAGGGTATGTCTACACTACGAAATTAGGTCTAATTTATAGAAGCTGGTTTTATAGAAATCGGTTGTATACAGCCGATTGTGTGTGTCCCCACATAAAATGCTCTAAGTGCATGAAGTCGGCGGACCGCGTCCACAGTACCGAGGCTAGCGTTGACTTCCGGAGCGTTGCACTGTGGGTAGCTATCCCACAGTTCCCGCAGTCTCCGCCGCCCATTGGAATTCTGGGTTGAGATCCCAATGCCTGAATGATGCAAAACAGTGTCGCGGGGGGTTCTGGGTACATGTCGTCAGGCACCTCCCCCTCCGTCAGAGCAACGGCAGACAATAGATTCGCGCCTTTTTACCTAGGTTACCTGTGCAGACAACATACCACGCCAAGCATGGAGCCAGCTCAGCTCAGCTCAGCTCACCGTCACCATATATCGTCTGGGTGCCGGCAGACATGGTACTGCATTGCTACACAGCAGCAGCTAATTGCCTTTTGGCAGTAGACGGTGCAGTATGACTGGTAGCCTTCATCGGTGATCTGGGTGCTGGCAGACGTGGGGCTGCATTGCACACAACAGCAGCCCCTTGCCTTTTGGTAGAAGATGGTATATTACGACTGGTATCCGTCGTCGTCGTACTGCAGTGGCTGTCAATCATGGGCATCTGGGCAGTCTCGATGATGATGGCTATCAGTCGTAGTATGCTATTTTCTGCCAAGCGCCCAGTATTTTCTGCCAAGCACCCAGAGGATGCCGAGGGCTATCAGTCATGCTGCACCGTCGTCTGCCAGCTTAAGATGTAAAAAATAGATTTGTTCTGTATTCATTTGCTTCCCCCTCCCTCCGTGAAATCAACGGCCTGCTAAACCCAGGGTTTTGAGTTTTTTCTTTGGGGGGGGCCATTCTGTGCGACAGTTGTTTGTGTTTCTCCCTGATGCACAGCCACCTTTCTTGATTTTAATTCCCTGTACCTGTACGCCATGTCGTCACTTGGCCCTCCCTCCCTCCTTCCCCTGGTCCGTCAGATACTAGTTTCGCGCCTTTTTTCAGACCAGGCGCCATAGCTAGCACTGGGATCATGGAGCCCGCTCAGATCACAGCGACAATTATGAGAACTATGAACACCACGCGCATTGTCCTGGAGTATATGCAGAGCCAGGACATGCCAAAGCAAAACCAGGACCAGCCGAGCAGGCGATTGCAGCGCGGCGACGAGAGTGATGAGGAAATTGACATGGACATAGACCTCTCACAAGGCACAGGCCCCAGCAATGTGGAAATCATGGTGTTACTGGGGCAGGTTCATGCCGTGGAACGCTGATTCTGGGCCCGGGAAACAAGCACAGACTGGTGGGACCGCATCGTGCTGCATGTGTGGGACGATTCCCAGTGGCTGCGAAACTTTCGCATGCGTAAGGGCACTTTCAGGGAACTTTGTGACTTGCTTTCCCCTGCCCTGAAGCGCCAGAATACCAGGATGAGAGCAGCCCTCACAGTTGAGAAGCGAGTGGCGATAGCCCTGTGGAAGCTTGCAACGCCAGACAGCTACTGGTCAGTCGGGAATCAATTTGGAGTGGGTAAATCTACTGTGGGGGCTGCTGTGATCCAAGTTGCCAGGGCAATGAAAGACCTGGTGATATCAAGGGTAGTGATTCTGGGAAATGTGCAGGTCATAGTGGATGGCTTTGCTGCAATGGGATTCCCAAACTGTGGTGGGGCCATAGACGGAACCCATATCCCTATCTTGGCACCGGAGCACCAAGCCACCGAGTACATAAACCGCAAGGGGTACTTTTCAATGCTGCTGCAAGCCCTGGTGGATCACAAGGGACGTTTCACCAACATCAACGTGGGATGGCCAGGATAGGTACATGATGCTCGCGTCTTCAGGCACTCTGCTCTGTTTCGAAAGCTGAAGGAAGGGACTTTCTTCCCGGACCAGAAAGTAACTGTTGGGGATGTTGAAATGCCTATCATGATCCTTGGGGACCCAGCCTACCCCTTAATGCCATGGCTCATGAAGCCGTACACAAGCAGCCTGGACAGGAATCAGGACCTATTCAACTACAGGCTGAGCAACTGCCGAATGGTGGTGGAATGTGCGGGAGTACGTTGAAAAGGGCGTGCATGTAGTTCATGGCGACTGTTAAGACTCAGCTTTGGGCTTGT